GACTTACCTCCACGCGGTGCACCCTGGGCAACGTATACTCATACGGCAAAAAAAGTCTATTAACTGGCAGTTGACTTCTGACCTCAAACTACCATCGCCCCACTATATGTCATATTCGACTGCTTCCACACTACTCACCTCACCATTTTTCTACCTTTATGTCTGTCTCTTTTACATTTTTGAAACACTCTTCTGTTCCTCCCCCCACTTGAATTTTTTCTCTTTGATGTCCCTTCCATCTGTGAAGCCTGAAGTCAACTAAAGTGCTAATGATAACTATCAAAACGCCTGCCATTTGATATAAATAAATACCTCCAATAGATGCCGTTTTAAAACCTAAATCGCAATTTCAGTACACAATTTTAAACTCTTTTCATAGATTATCTAAATGACATTAACGTGAATCGGTCACTCACATTCAGAAGGATGTGAGTTCTTGCAGCGTCTTCAAAGTGTAGGGGCCCGCGGGTAAGTTCTACCTGGTAGACGATGAAGGTTTTAGGAAAACGTTCTTTTGATTTCTTGATTCTGGTTTTGGTGGGAAATTCAATCCATATACGGTTCGGATTCAAAATTTCCAATGTCAGTATCTTAGCTGGATTAGAAAACTAACTTTATTTTAGATCACACAAGTAGTTTAGACGTTTGTCAGTCTTTCCCACTAATGAGAATTAAATGCATTTTCATCTTGAAAACTATATCGAGAGAATGTCAGTCATGACACTTCAATTCGTTTCGACAGGTCATAGAGGCATTAAATATCATACACGTTATCAGAGCTTGTGTTTACTCGAGGTGGATAGCTAAGCTCACCGATATACTTCTAAGGTAAATATTAGTTAATTTAAGTGTAATTAGGTTAAGTGTGAAATCCCTAATCGTTTTGGCGTGAAATTTATTCCAATGTTTCTATTTTATGAAGAGCAAGAGCATTCTGGTTTACTCAATGTAAGCTGTAACTGATAAGTTTCATCTCTGCAGAGAAAAACTTGTATTAACTCTGAAGTCTTAGACATACTTTAACGGCTTATAAATGTGAACTGCATTTTGGGTTAGCAATCATGAAATGTCACATCTGTTCATCTCTTTTCAAAGTCCTTTATTTGAGTCAGGTGTGAAACTTGGGTTCGTCCACCGAATTCACATATCAATTAAGTGTGCAATTCCTATCTCAGTCTTTGCGCAATTTATCGATTATCCCTGCCCAATCGAAAATCGATAAATGATTTTTACCAGAAGTGTTGTTATAAGCGCACGATTTTAGGGAAAGGAAAATATTGATGTGCGTCAAATGAGTACCCAAGGGGTGCAAAAGATGTCAGGAGCAATGTCAATGCCTTTTATTGTTTTTTTTAAGATTCAAACTCTACCACCCTAAAACAGTGCAGTTAATCATTCTGTTTACTGGATGTCCACGATGGACAAAGAATTTGTGATTTCAGACGAGTAAAGTTAACAGACGCACCAACTCTGTCACTTTCCTCCCTTTCTTCAAACCTTACTTCCTATTGGAATATGGCTTGACAACCCCAAAAGTCTCCATGCATTTACTTAAATTCCAAAAGAAACGCTGTTCTAGTTACATTTGAAAAAGAAAGGATTATTCATTTTGATAGGCAGTATACGCAATGAGCTCAGTCAGTGATTGGTCAAAACAAATTACTCAATAACTGAAATACTAAAGCAAAAAATTAATACACGAAATAAATCTTGAAAAAAATAACAAAAGGAAGCCTTTCAAATTCAAATCATAACAAAATAATTCAATCTCTTGAGGGTATGTGTGAGAGATTATATACAGCAGCGGAACAGCACTCGAGCGGAGTGTGTGGACAAACATGTGTGTCCCGAATAGAAAAGCACAAATAGGCAATCTCAAGAAGACACACACACACAGGTTCTCTTTCTTAAGATGAAGAAGGTTGAGAGTGTAGAACAGGGTTATTTTGTGAAGTGGAAGGCATAGATGGGAGGGGAGGGCTAGCAATACTCGAGGTAGGCGCATTAAGTTCAATTACAATCAATGTGATATCATCCCGATAAAGTCGAGCAACACCAGGTGGCAGTGAAAGAAGTGCCGAGGCTAATCGGGGATCCTCTTTTGCTTTGCGATTGAGATTGCCATCAGGACCGATTGGGACAGACAAGGCTGCTCTCATTAATCTCGTTGCAGGGCACTGTCCTGGTTGAAGGCGACTCAAAATGGAGGCTGCTAATTCTGGAGTTAGAGTATCCCATAGACCATCCGTCGCGAGGACTAGATAACGATCGTTCGGTTTCAGCTATAACCCAGAGAAATGCATAGGCAATATATGGTTATACCACAACTGCGAAAATTTTCGTTAAATAAAATTCACGTTGGCCATTCACACTACTACTATTTACAAATGAACGTCCGTAGAAGAACACTGAATTAAGGAAGCAATGGAGCCCTACCCTGCGCTATAGTTAGGAGAAATATTAACGCAGTTATTGCTCCAATCAAACTGCCCTCACCCTCACCCCCTCCCCCCCCCCCCCCACCTTGCTAAAGGGGGTTGATGGGAGACTTCAAAGGTTAATAAGATTATATGCAAATGACAAAGAGGTGCATAATTTGAACAAAATAATGAACCTTTTAGTAGAACAAAAACAAACAAATTAGAAGACCAGAGGAGGGAAAAAGTATCACCTTTATTGCAACCTCAAGGACAGAATGGCGGGGGGGGGGTGGTTGATCTATTCAGTTCGCACTTTAAACCAATTCATAGCTCAATTTGAGTTAAAAATTGCTTCTTTTTTCAATGCTATCTAAAGTAAACTTATGTGAGCCCATCTATAAAAATGCAATGTATGCCTGAAATTTCGGTACATGAGAATTAAAAGACCCCCAGATTTTGGCACAAGCTTTAGGACCTCTTAAGATGTAGAACACGATATCTTTTCTTTACGTGGTGCACCCTGGGCAACGTATACCTATACGACAAAAGAGGTCCTAACCGGCAGATGACTACTGGCCTTAAGCTACCATAACTCCTAATGGATGTCATATTCGACCACTTCTACAGTACACACCTCACCTCCCCTTTTTCTCCCTACCTTTATGTCAGCCCTATGGGGTGTGCGATAGACTTACCTCCACGCGGTGCACCCTGGGCAACGTATACTCATACGGCAAAAAAAGTCTATTAACCGGCATTTGACTTCTCACTTCAATCTACCATCACCCTACTGAATGTCACATTCGACCCCTTCCACAGTACTCACCTTACCTTTTTCCCTACCCTTATGTCTGTCTGCCTCTTTTACATCTGTGAATCGCCCTTCTGTTCCCCGCTTGCATGCTTAAAGACGAGTCAACTTTGTTGAGTGCCTCGAGTAGGCACTCGAGAGGTTTACATAGAAGCCTTGACTGATCTGCTTAAGGTGTGGCCTTCCGAAACTTTTCCCTCCCCTCTTCTTCTTGGTACCTGTTGACTCACAAGGCTAAAAAAAAACCAAGATAGATGGAAGAATTTTTCATAAGTCTAAGTCTTCTACGTCAAAATTTGGCCGCAGGATCTGGATCTGCTAGAGAAATCTTTTGAGCAAACTCGTCAGATGCCATGGCTGCACCTATGTTGAAATTGCTAAATTTGTAAACTTACTACCTTTCTTTTCCATAGTGGTGTTCGTAAGATATTTCTAACGTTAAGCAGGCAATCTTATTCACCTATGTGTAATTATAACTTCAGACATCTACCCCCTCCCTCCCCCCGCTTTCCAATTACCCCTACACCCCACCCACCACTACCACCATCACTACCCAATGTTAGGCCAGAAACTGGAGGAGGAATTATAACTTACCGAAAATTTTGACACATCTGGTTTAACGATGAGATAAGGCGGAGAGATGTAAGGTGAAGGAAGAGCATCAAAAGCATTCAGTAAATCAGAACTGCACGTGTCCTCCTGAATGAGGCGCTCATTTAATTTGTGTATACGATCAGCGGGCCACTTGTAGCGTACATCACCAAATGCTCTCGTTGGGGCCAGCTCACCTAGTAGTCGACCCCCGTTTCGAATAAGGTCCTCCGCTTTGTCATCTGGATGTTCTATCACCAATCGTCGCAATTCATCCTCGTTGGTACTACCGTTGTGCGGATCAACTAGACGCTGGGGTTTTAATTCGCCTATAGAGTGGATAAAAAAGTGCTACATACTGGCAATAATCGCAAGAAATCAGGTATACCCCCCCCCCCTTGATGTTATAAAAGCAATGTGTGTGTGTGTCTGTCATTCATGTCTCATTATATCTAGATATTTTATTATATATCCAATCATATATCTTCATGATCTACTTCGGTTTTAAAAGTGACTCAGAGAGAGAGAGTAATGTTGAACCTGAACCGAAATCAGCGAAAAATTGAGAGAGAGCGAAGAAGGTACATTAGGGACTGTACTGGCATATTGAAGACTAGAGGAATTGGGACAACGAATCAGAGATCTCTCGAGATTACAGTGAAGTATGTTTTATACCAAATCTAATTGTGAACTGCCTGCTAGGGTCACTAAATCTCAGATGATGAGTCTTCAACAGAAATGTAGAAGACACCAAGCCCAAAACGGTATTCGAATTAGCAAGAAACAACACTAAGTGCGATCAGAGAACAAAACAAACACCAATCGTAATAATTTAACTGCAATAATTATGATAACAGAGGGATAACAAACGCTATATTCACAATCTAACCACAGGCAAATCGATATTTTTCAAGTATTGGATATACCAAATAGAGTACTTCTAAGTGCTTGACACAAGACAACCTAAACATACCCACTTACATTTGATAAATCAGACCGCAAATAAACTAACACTTAAGGGACGCTTAATTGTCTGAAACAAAAACTAATATTTAACTTCCAGCTGATGACTGTAATGAAGGATGAGACCAATAAGGCCCTAAAACGAGCATCATTCATGGAAACTGGGTCGCCTAGCAAATAGTACTTAAATGGGACTAGTAGTTTGTCGATGAGTAGACAGAAGTAACAAGAGGGCGAGTCAGATGACAAATCAATCGCTACACATGCAACCTATGGGCACTTACATGCGTCACTTTGTTGTCCGTTTAAGTCTCTCCGTTTACCGTTACGATGCAAGCTGTGCCTGTGTCTTTTGACTTTCCTTACTTCTGGCTTCTTAGCATTTGCAACTACAAGGTACATGGGAAAAAAGAGTGACATGGAATGATCTATAGGCCCAATCCAAACCTATTACTTCCACATTAGGCCTTTAAGGTGAGATGAGTTAGTAATAAAGGCAGCAAAGATAACTAACCCATCGACGCGTCAGAGACTGAGAATAGAACGGCAGAGCAGTCACCAACATTTGCTATTTGAAGTTCTACGGAACCATCCACATTGTTGACCGTCCAGTCAAGAAGTCCGAAAACTGCCACAGCTCCGCTCTGAGCAATACGGAGAAGGTCTGGGTTTATTGTGATTGGTTCATCAGTGATCTTAGTTAAAATAGAGACGTCTTCCAGACCAATTGAACAGAGATCGTTATCGAGGCGTGATAAAGCCCCTTCCCCTGAAAGAGTAGGAAGAAAGGCTATGAGATAATCATTCAATGCAATTCAAATTTATCCTATTACACACACACATCGGTCTAAACTTGTCAAAATATGAGGCCAGATTACATTAAAAAACTCAACTCGGATTCATGATTTTAGATCTTTACATTTAGATTAAAATCACATACTGGAATACACCAATATTTAATAAATAGTGAAGAAATCAAAATTACTAAACATAAATTATTTCTGATGCTGAAATAAAAATAATGTTTTAATTGTGGCAACGGTTAACATTATAAATATGGAAGATAAAATAAATCACAGTTGAAAAGGCCAAACAAAATTCTCAAGTCATAAAAGGGTAAAATGACAGCTTATTTTAATTACTATTACCTTAGGCAAAAGAAATGGGTGAACATTAACTCCAATGAATAATGAAATGTAAAACTCAAGTTGCATGAGCAAGTATTGGAGAAGTGGTTTAAAGAAGCCACATTAGCGCATCGTACTGAATTTGAAACAGTAGCAAATATATCAAACATCTGTAAAATTGTGGTTAAAGTTAACCAAAATAACTAAGCATATCAAAACACCCTTCTATTAATAAGATTTTATTTTCAAAATGACAGTTTTAAGGCATGCAATAAACTATTCACACAAATCACAAGACTATTTAGAAAGGGTCAAGGAGACAAAAAACAAAGAGAAGTTTATCAGTTTCGCAAATCAACTCTCACGCGCGTGTGCGTGCGTGCATGCGATAGAGCGCGCCCGATACGCCCCCCCTTAAAAGTACGATCAAATTAGAACAACAAGATGGTATTGACTGACGACTGAGAAACAACCAGAGCGGCACAGCTGTTCAAGCGACAAAGAGAGGTAGGTAAATATGCAACTAAGATAAACTAGCAGCAAGCAAACTTACTTCTATTCTAAGATTATTTATTCCGTAAGAACTAAGCACACATACGGAATGAACTCACTGTATGTAGAATTGCAGACATTCTCTTTTCTAATCTCTACTATGCAGTGGCAACTGAGTAGGGTAAAGCTGAAAATGCCAAAAATATTGGCTAGTCGCTTTCATCCATGGAAGACACACGTCAAAAGCACTAAAACGTAGCAAAAGGAGCCACAATCCGTATTTAAGCAATGTAGTTCGAGTGAAAGAGAGAAACTTTTTTGTTCAATTTCTTATAACCCTCCCAACAAGCAAGAATATAAGAAAGCAGATGATTTGGCGTTATGACTATTATTAGAAAAGTACACACTAGAGAAACCAGCTCCTTAACTAATAAACTTAAAAGATTGGGAGTGGGAGAGGGAGAAATTGGCATAATAATCCAAATGTGTGTGAGGGAGGGGGGTGGGGGGAGGGGGTTGGTAAAAATTAAGATACATCGATAACCAAGTTAATGGGTTGATTGACAATAGGCATGCTGTAACGTCATTACAACGCTTTACAACAAATATTTGCGAGCTATAATTAGATTTTGACAGTAAAAAAGCACTTACAACTCTATGTATCTCATTTGGTGCTGGCGATTAGATTTGAAGAAATGAGTGATGACTGATTGATGGCAGCAAATAGGGAAAAGGTGAAATTGATTAATAACCAGTTACCAAATGAGATAAAACACTTTAGAGAATATAATGCATTTTTGCAGAGAAACGGAATAACCTCCATTTTCATTTTCAGTGAAGCTTTAAAAGGTGAAAAAGTGGGTAAAAATGAATTCTTGAACGATTCTAATTACCAGTTTTTAAAGCACAAGAAGTGAATTCGGGGTTGGAGGGGGGGGGGGGGAAGGATAAGTTGAAGACCTAACTTATCTTCTCCCTTGCTGGAATACACATTCACTTTGCTTGTTGAATCAGTCATAGGTGCGTAGATTGAGTAAATATGTGGACCACAGTAAATGGTAAGCAATCATTCACCAATCAGAAAATTGTCTAATTTAGTGTCATAAGAAGGCAGGCTCATTGATTAATTTAAGAACCACGATAACCAGATATTTGGTGAAATCAGGCATTAAAAACACAGATATTATTAATAAGATGGTCATATTGGCCATCGCCATAAAAAATTGGCATGCATTCTCGTTGCTTGGATAATAAATTGAAACAAATAATGTGAACATACTCAGCGTGGTTAATATTATGACAAACTAAATTGTGAAAAAAAAATGAAAAGGGATAGATAGGCATTTTCTGGATTCTATTATAAAATTGTACTAATCGGCTTTGCGTTGTACAAAGGCCCCCCTCTAATCCACCGCCCCCCCCCCACTCCAACTCACCCATCAAGTGATCTGTTCACAACAATTAACTAGGGCAGAGGGAATACGGTTTGCTGAAGCTGTTCTTAGGAGAAAATCATATTCAAATTGTTGCCGTGTTGGTCAGAGCAAATTTGATCACACCACTTCTGATTCGGCAAATGCTAAGTAAATTAATTAAAATCTCCGTGTGGAGTGGCCAAGAGAATAGGAAGAAGCCGGAGTCGTTTAACGCCGAGCATTAATGAAAACCGTCTGTCTCAATCAACATGTGTCAGACTTGAGACAATTTGTTATTGACTGCGTAACTTCCACTGCAATCAATTTACTAAACACACAACTGGACACAAATGCACACATCTATTTTTTTTAAATCCAGACTAAATGCACCAAATAGCGCATACTATCTGTTTATGTGAAAGGCTATGTCTAGAGACAGTTTTATGAAGATCGAATAATGTTTAGATCACGAGAAACTGACAAAATGATTTTAACTGATAAAGAAGCTATTCTGGGAACTGAATTGAAAGCGTACATTGATAGAATAGGCCTTCAGGCACTCAAAGAAGCACTGGAAAAAAGTAACAATCTCCACAGTGATTTTGTGATTAAAGTAGAAAGCGAATTAAGATAAACTAGCATCTTAAACTATATCTTGCAATGAGCTTCGAACATATATAACTTAGGAAAAAATCGAAAACGAAAAAATCAATATTATGGCACCCCAGTAATGCACGCACCAAAAAACCTGTTTATTCAAGCTACTGGTAAAATACTATATCTATCAGTAATTATGAACAGGTCACCATTGATATGGGGCTGTTCTGACCTTAAGACGAAGCCTGAACATACAGGCAACCATGAACGTCAATTTCTTGTCACCCGCTTATTTCAGAGAAGAAGCACACTGGATCAACTATCACAATATCTAAACACTGAATTCTTGCAATTAACTAAACAATGAAAATAGTCAATATGAAAAGATCTATTTTATAGAGCGGGATGAGAGATAGACTTACCTCCAAGTGGTGAACCCTAGGCAATGTATAATCACGGTAAAAAATCTATAAACTGGTAGTTGTTTGCCGACTTCAAACTACTAATACAAGACTGCATGTCAACCTAGACCACTTCCACAGTACGCACCTTACCTTTTTCTCCACCTTCTTGCCTGTATCTTACCTCCGTGAATCACTCTTTGGTTCCCAACCCCCTCAATCAACATTTTGTGACTTTGATGTTTCTCCTCCCCTCTGTGAAGTCAGAAGTAAACTAAAGGGACAATGACAACTCTCAAAAACGCCTGCCATTTGCTATCTATGAATAAATTTTATAGAGTTTTCGGACTTAATTTTATTTACTTAGAAAAAAGTGGGTGGTAAGATGTGATTTTGTTAGACGACTACAGATTGGTGTCTTAGCCGATATAGCAAGTGGTAATTCGAAATTTTTCTTATGTGAGATATTTGGGGGTGCATGGAATTGTACAGAGAATTTGGTCTGATTTACTATATTATGATAGATATACTTATAGAAAATTATATATATATATATATATATATATATACGACATGTTGTCCTGAGTTGCCCAAACGAAAACGAAATTGGGAGGGCAATGATTCAATGAAGAATATATTGAGAGCACATTGTTATTTGATCTTGTTTAGGAGAGGGAGGGGGAGTAGAAGGGTTGGGCACTAAAGGTACGTTGAACACTACTTCCAGAGAACTGTCTCAATCGATCAAAGTGGTGGTGTAAATCTGATTTCGAAATAAACCGAACACCTTTTTTTTTATTTAACACGAAATTCCGACTGTATGTGCGGAGCTTTATGCATACAAATCACTGCTTGAATTGCAGATAAGTGGCAAAAAAAGGTTGTCAAATGTTTGAGTCAACTTCACCACTCACATTCAATGGATAAGTTGGTATGTCCTTTTAGAAGAGAATGAAGAATAACACCTCATCCTCTACTTTCGAAAAAAACCACTACCGGGGTTTTCCGAAAGTACGCCCATCCAGATAGGCGGTTATTTTTTTCCAACGAATTGTTTCATGAAATGGAAATTTCCGTTTAATCGCCCTGGGGTGAATTTTCAAAGAAAACCTCTGTAATTCAATTAGAAGCTCATTTGACATAATAATTTGTGCACAGCTATATTACATACACAGTTCAAGTTTTGGCAAATTAAAAACACCTAATTCCATTCAACTAGAGGTGTACACAAAGGTGCTACTGAATAGCAACGAAAACTCAAATATTCTTAAGTTTTATTTAAGGAATATTATAAGCTTCCCAATGAAAAAAATAGACTCCGCTTGGAAACAATCACTAATTTTCTTGGAAGATCACCGAATTTCTCCCAAAACGAAGAAAATCAAGAAATGACTAAACAGAGGTGGGCAATAGGATCAGTTTACATTGATAGCGGCGCTCTAGACGTAGACAGTTAGATTAAACCTGCGGAAGCATAAATAGATTGAGTAGGGGTCTCTTCAAATGAGGTCCGACTAATTGATTTATTCGGAAGAAGTAACAACACTAGCGACCGAGTGAAGTTTGGCCAACTTAGGAAAACTCCAAGAATAGAGATGCAGCTCATTTTGACAGGTAATTAATCAGCGACAGCTATTTAAAGCCAGCAAACAACTTAGCATCAAATGCACGCCGAAGTAAACCTATATCCATAATCCATAAAGAGAAGATAAAATGGTCATGATTCAAAATCAAACCTACTAGCTCATGGCATTTCTAGCTGCCAACACCGATCTCATTAAATCTAGTAGTAAAATTTACAACTTTGTTCA